TTTTCGGAGGAAAAAGGACGAAAATTGGAATGTGATTGAAGTCACTTTCCATGACATGATTAAGGACGATATTTCGTTACGAGTAGCTTCGAATGTCAACTCCAGCTGACAACATTGCTGCGAGTTTTACGAAATGGGAAACTGCATATGATGTTTTAACAGCTTACGAAAAATCCATTGAAAGTTCAAATACGAATTCAAACACCATTGGCGATTTAGAGATTGACAAGCTGGTGTTCCTCGTTTTGTGGTTTGTTCTTTTTCCTTGTATTTTGTCTTTTTTTTCGTCAAGGCGTAGTTAACAATGAAAGTAAATTCGTACTCTGTAACTTGCATCTATGGCAATTAGCTATACTATACAACGATAAGAAAATTTTAAAAGACAAAACACACGTCTCACAACATTCTTTTCATTTTATTTCACACTGTAACCTGCCGTGCAAAAAAAAAAAAAGGGACGCGAATAAAAGTCGAAAGGAGGCAAAAGAGTTCCTCAATCTATAATGTGCCCTGGAGAGAATTTCTACGAATTCATTCAATTCATAAGATGTGAAGAATCCTCAGATCATAGATGTTTTCCAAAATGCACATAACTCAGTGAGAGAATTTCCTCATTAGAAGACAATCGCTAGCTACTCACAATATAGTTTTCTAGCGTCTAAACTGAATAATTGTCTGCAGTTTTTTTTGTTTTATTAGATGTTCAGAAAGAACAGATGAGCTTCCACAGGACAGAAAAGTTGAAACAATTAGTGTAGATCTTTCTCTCAAGGATTGTATCACGCATTCAGGTGATTGCAAGCAGATTTTCTCTGTGCTATAACCCGCAATCCCTTCTGATGCATACAGTCAGCGTTTATATCCTCACATCTATGTCTTCTACCAGTTTGTCAGCAATAAGAAGATGGAGAACTTGCTAGTTTTGCGGAGTGTGTAAGAGCTAACGATGTTGTATGCAGTGGATGGTCCTTATAACATTTACGCCACATGCACCCCTTGAAATAACAAGCACAAATTTTAGGCAAAGAGACGTATACTTCAAATCTTTGTGCAAATATGTGCCAAAGAACTGCACTCCGTGAATTAGCTTAATTTCACGGCTGTCTTATCCCTATATATATATGAGAGAGAGAGAGAGAGAGAGGAGAGAGAGAGAGAGAGGAGAGAGAGAGAGAGAGAAGTGAGAAAAATTAGGAAGCAAATAAACGAAAGTGACCGAGTGGCTGAAAAGGAAAAATGTGTGGAAACTGCATGAACATAAAACATTTCTTTACTATTCGGTGTTTGATGCCCAGCGATATTTTATCTCAAAATTTCATAAATGGGAGCGCTTCAATTCTTGTAAAAAAGACCGATAAACGCGCACGCTTTTCCGCAATGGAATAATTCTTCAAATGTTTTTTCAAAAAAAAAATGGATAAGAATTACTAAAAGTTATTGAATTGCTAAGACTACTGAAATCTGCTAATATTGCCTTTAATTACTATTCTCCAGCACATCCGCTCTTATATATAAAATTGTAGGGTAACTGAAAAGTTAAATTTTGGCTCTATAACGGCAAAAGGGTGGTTTCGAAAATGGCTGTCAAAGAAATAAACTCTTTCACTGTTGTTCAAGAAATGAAAGTGAATCAGTGTACTACGCGTTAGAAAATGAAGATCATTCGAATTCGTAGTGAACATATTTGAGTCTTTCATGGGGTCTGCCATGACACTCATAAAGTGCTAGGCACGTGTTCCGGCCTTGCTGCTTCATTAGTAGCACGGTGCTTTTCAGGTCAGCTAATTCCTCGCAGGATGACATACCCCTACATAAATAGGAATCGAAGAGGAGTAATTACAGAGAACTGGCTGGACCGAATGGCATCGTGACACTGATAAGGCTACAAGGCTGAAGCACGTGTCTAGCACTTATAAGTGCCACAAGAGATGTGATAGAAGGCTTAAGATGTTTTGTCTGATTACATATTGTTTTAGGTAAGGTCTGTAAAAATAGTTGGACGAAAGAAACTAAGATTTAGAGTAATCTAGTTAGCCCTCTACGAGGGTAACACCTTTCTAGTGCTTTCTGTAAGTAATTGACATTTTTTTCCACTAATCTTCACTGTAAATGATTGAAAAACAACAACTGCTTACCTAGCCGAATGGCGTTGCTGATTTGAAAGTAGGCGAGTGAAGCTAATATCAGCATGAACGCTCTCATAATGGAGTCGCAATCAAGAACCTAGGAACCACACTGTTCGTCGTTAGATGGGTGGGTGGAGCCAATGCTTGTGCAAAACGAATAAGCGGAGTCAGTAGCAGAGCAATTGTGGTCAAAATCTGGTGAGATTTCTCCACCCACAAAGCTTCCTAAAAAGTTTTTAACGTGGCCCTAGACTCCGTCTCAATACTACATTTTATTTTACATTTTTGTCTTTTTGAGTTAACATGGAGCATATTTGATGAATGCGACTCTTCACCAGAAACTCATTCCTCCATGCTCGTCCATAAGGGCAATCGATTGAATAAGTGAGACCAATTTCGTAGTTACCAATGCCGAGGTACAAGGAAAGTCGGTCTTTCGAGTTCATTCAAGAAAACTGATTACAACTATTGAAGCATGAGATAGAGCAACTAAGTGCATAGGTGGAAGCACATCTATGCTCTCAAACATTTTCAAGTGGATCAGGAATTGATGCGAAACAGCAAAGATAAAATATTAGATCCGTTCCTCAAACCAACTTTCATGACACGCATAATTTTATTTTGGTTCACATAAAACTCTTTCTCTGTCATTGAGGAAGCGAGACATCACCTTACAGTACATTACATAGCTCTTTCGCATAAGAATTATTTATCAGACTTGATTTATACATCTTTCAAAATAGAAAAGTCAAATCTGACATAAGTCATCTCAATAGGGCACACGCAAGCACAGCACATAAACGACTGAAAAATAGAATTTGCACTTAAGTCATTCAGAGAAAAAGAAGAAACGATTAAAATGGGCAATTTTTTTATCGATCTACCTCTACACTATCCATAATAACCTGATACCACCTTTGCTGAAAAAATGAGGATTATTACGGCCAATGTAGTAATAGAGGCTGAATGGACGACATTTTGAAAAATGAACAAATCTGCAAGCAATGTGAATACACATGCAACTTGTGAACGACCAAGGGAAATAAATATGAGAAAATGAAGAGAGTCAAAAAAACTACTGGGATCCGCACAGTATGTGATGCAGTGTGTAATAAATATCAATATTAGTATTAATATACCCAATAGTGTGGAGTGCCGTGCAAAAACGTTTGCATCAGCCGGGACTCGTACCCAGATCTCACTGTTTCCGGGAGCGTATGCTAACAAATGCACCACCGACGCTCGTTTTGGACAGCACTCTTTCTACACTACAACGCGTTATGTGTCAACAGCCAACCGTCTACGGTATGGCGGGGTAGTCGTCATCAACATTAAACCCACTCGTGTTGACAGTCTTGTGTATCACTAATCAACTAGAAATGATTTTATTTGACCGCCACTTGCAGTGTTATGATGGTACAACAGCGCTGTGCAAGACGAGCGTCGGTGGTGCAACGGTTAGCATACGCTCTCGGAAAGAGTGAGATCTGGGTTCGAATCATGGCTGACGCAAACGTTTTTGCACAGCACTCTACACTATTGGTATATTGTACCGTCATAACACCGCAAGTGGCGGTCAAATAAAATAATTTCTGACTGATTATTAATATCAATATTCATACAATTAAAACACTGATATTAACATTATTACGTCAGCGAAGTCATGTGTCTCACTCTGCGCAGAACCCATTAATTCTTGCATCTGGTTTCTCTCTTGGTGTAATTTTCATGGATCTCAAAATTCCTTTGCAAATTCAATAGATGTTTGACGATTGTTTTCCTTGCCACGAATATCGTTGGATTATGTTCGAGTCGATTTTTCTCGTAACTCTAACATAGCCGAGCAGTGACGTTCACACGTCGATTGAAGGGAGTGGGCTTCCCAGACAAGTCCGGTATTATTTTTGCGACCTCAAATGGTTGAAAGGATTGTAGAGCCTAAGGGTATGGTCGAACCATAGGCTGTAGGTTGTCTCACCCGCGCGTTGAATGAAGTTACTTTCACTGCCTACTCCTACCACACATGAATCAAATTTAGTCAACAATACCGCTAAAGTATTCAACACTAAAGTATGAAGAAATTTCAAAAGCTGTGAAAGTACTGGATAGTCAAAATTAGTAAAATAGCCTTTTCAAGCCAGTGTGAACTACAAATCACACATTGTGGTGACATACCGGAATCCCTCACGTCCAGAAAGGGAATCACTTTAGTTACTTCAGCGTTGGTCCTATTCATTAAGTACTTAATCGTCTCTTCCTATCTCATTCCTTCACGAAATTTTTCATTTCCTAATGATGACTAAAACTGCTTTATCAGCTGCACGCTAACGATGCTAATAAATCTCACACAGAGATTGATATACGGCCTAAATTCATAAGACCAAAAAGGCCTTCTTTGCTCCGTCAGCGTCATAATGTCTGATAAAGTTGTCAAATGTGCTTTTCTACAAAGTTATGCAGATGTTTTCCGTTGTAATTTCATATTACATCGTTTAGATTGATTTCGGTCCTTGCTTCTCACGCTTTAGTTTTGCTGCCAACACAATTCCCACACGCTACATCTTGTGAAAACAGAATGAACCAGAGAATATGGTCGAAAAGAATGCGGTGTTATGGAGATCATTAGTATTATTTTTCTATAGGCTAAACTCTTATCGTAATTTGCTTCTCTCTAGATTTTTTTTCATTTTTTTTTCAAAATATGAAACCGGTGACCTCTCCCATATGTATAAATAAGGCTCTGACGAAGGCGGATCGCCGAAGACGCTCGCCATCAGTTTTGAGAAAGGACACGTACCTACCTTGTGCAAGTTGCAATTAAATAAAGGGACAGATAAATGCGCTGTAGAGTAGAAAGAGCGATGTGCAAAATGGGCGCCAGTAGTGTAACGGATGGAGCACGCATTCCCGGGAAGAGTGAGGTGCGGGTTCTAGTCCCGCCTGACGCGAAAGTTTTGCACATCACTCTTCATCAACGGGTATTTATTTGAAACATCATAACGCCGCTAGAAGCGATTTAAAGAAAAGTATTTCGTTTAAAAGGATAGTCATAAAAAGTTTTGCATCTCTTTACTCATGCCAAGGATTAGATGGTTAGAGATTGTCGGACTTTCAAGTCTTCTCGTTATACGCATCTTAAAGCGCTTTAAACAATGTTTCCATTTAAAAGGAGTTATTTCACCTCGTGCTAGCCTGTTATGATGTTACTATTATGTATCAAATGCTATTGAGTGACATTCAAAACATTAGACAACAAGTGGCAGTTAATTCCTCGTTTCATCCATACCAGGATCGATCACTTGGCGGAGCATATCGGAGATTGTATGTATATGCATTATCTATCGGTTTAACAGGTTTACATCCGATATGTACCTACCACATCAAGCCCATCAACGGTTCGTTGCTGACAGCTGTGATGAGTTATATCGAGGAAGGAATGGCAGCAAAGCGGAGTCTTTGTGCTGTAGTAATAGCACGCCACCCCCGTGCGGCTGAAGCACTGGTTGAGCTTCCACCTGGGGTCGGATGTTTTGAATAAAGCTCAACACTACTGTTATATAATGCAAGCATTGTTGCATGTTTCAGCAATTTTCGTTGTCTTTACGTAGTATGCTGGAACAGAGGAAGATCTAGTGAATGATCAACAAGCAGTTCAAGGACATCCGGTATTACAGCTCAGAGCGGCAACTGGACACCGGAAACACTCCACTATAACTACCCATCTTCCACCTTCCAAACTTATGTAGCTCAACTCAAGTTCAACTTTGCAATACCCGCTTCATGAAATGTAGTCGCTCAGTCTGAGGCTTGAATTGACTGCGGACCCACCCAAGGCATGGGTTTTATAAAGATTACTTCCTATTTTTTACTCTCTAAGCAGTACTAATAATGATATGGTTCCGATTATACCGATCGCCCTGACACTACATTGAAAACTGTCAAACTCTATCCTCTCAAGTGGCACTGAGTTAAGGTGAAGCTTTTCACAAGCTCAACGCTTTATGATGTTAGATAAGGAAGGAGGGTTGATGAAATCTACTTTTCTAAGACTGTTTCGGAAAATCGCAAAAGTGTAATCTTGTTCTAGTGCATTTCCATAACATCGCTGAAGTGAATTTCCAACCTTGGGACTAAATTTGCATCTCATAGGAGCCTTAGTCGTCAAATGCAAATGAAAGCTGTTAATATAAAACATATGGTAGCTGTTGACGGCATGTACTGCAATCTTTTCATGCACTTATTACTCAATTTTATTCTACTGTATTTTACTATGGAGTTCCCAAATAACGACGTTATGATTTTTCAAAATAATGGAAACACGACGAAAGCTAAACACCAGCTGTCAATACTGTTCTCATTCCACTCCGAGGATCACTGTCTTGTTTTCAGGTCAGCCATAGTAGAAAAGCCAATGATGTTAACTGCGTGTTTCTTTTTGTAGAACTTCTTGTGCTGAAAAAGAGTTGTCACATAAACTGGGTAAAATTAGCGATAATGCTTACCTGACTAAACCAGTAAGTAGGTTTGTGGCTAATAATTATAAGAGAGCGATCATGAAAAATGAGTGGTGGGTAAGCGGTTGCCTCTGTAGTGCAGTGGTAGCACGCGCCCCGGTATGGGTGAAACGCCGGTTCAGCTCTCGTCTCAGGTCGAGCCTACCACTCAATTCCTTTAGGTATAACTGAAAAAGGAGCGCCGTGGCCGACTGGTAAATTAAAAAATATCTGAATCATATAACACTGCGAAAAAGCTGTAAGACATAAGGATTTTTGGAAAAAAAGAATTGTTGAAATCTATTCAAATCGCGTATTAGTAAAATTGTAGAGTAAAAATAATGTCGTAGAATTGCTGATGCTCCACGTGCTCTGGTATAAGTACGGATTTGAGTCGTTAGTAGTCTAACGTGAACAATAAAGCCAAGCTCATATTGAAGGAAATACCAACTCTTCCAGTTTGCTTAGAGGCGATTTAGTGATAACAGTATCTGCGTTGTACTCTCATTCCTGATTCTACCAAATAGGAAACTCTGTCAAGGTCGAAAAAAGAGATATTCTTTATTTGGTGGTTATTCCCCCGAATAACTGCTACTTTCCCTTCGCTTCTACGCATATTTCTATCCACATAATCAAATAGTTAATATTCTAGTTCTAGATAATAGAAAAGGTCAGGCAATGAGTCATAGCGACGGCTAGCGACTAGGGCTGGAGGATGGACAGTTTTTTGGCTTACAGCTGGCATTTCGAACGGTTTCCAGACAAAGGACGGACGAAAAAACTCTCGAGTGATTGTCAAAGAGTCATGCCCACAGCAGTTCCACTCGTCTACAGGAGTCTACTTGAAGCTCGGCTGTAACTTCCTCCTCTCTTGAACCTAGATCATCCTGGTATTAGCTTGCTTGTAATTTATGTCGTTGTATAATGCCTATGTGAATAGTTACTGCTCTTTACAATGTTTAGCTTCTCTCATTCATCTAGAGATGTGGGGTTCGGGGCATCTCACACTTAGGCTCAAATCTAATGCATCATCATTAACTGTTAACATTGCGTTACATGTCGTGGTTGGTGTTTCCTCAATTGCAGTTATGTTGTAATCGTAGTTGTTATAGGTTGTTCGTTACGGCGATGAATATGGTTCGTTGGTCTCAGGATCAACACTGTCCTTTATCCAGTAAATAGTAAAAGACCCGCGTGGCAGGAATAATTAATACAATCGAGTGACCCTTGCGGCACACAACACACACCCACTCACATTAGGCAACAAAACTTATTACTCTAGTATAATCACCTTTAAAACTAAACCAGTTTAAGCACTCTCCACTGATAAACCTATACACTTTACCGCTCACATATAGTAAGACATTGTTGTGGAGACTGGTGTATTCATCGATAATACTTTATTCCTAGATGCTAATGTTTTGCCCCCACGCAAACTTACACGGCAATTCAAAAATTGGACGACATCTTAGTAAAAACTTACTGCCTATATCTCAAATCATTCGTCTGGTTGTGAGCAAATACATAATCAATTTGACCAAAGTTTACTCTCCTATCCTCATCTCTCAGTCGTAGGCTAGAGACTAATTGGCTCAATATCTAGAAGGTAAAGGTTTCTGGAAAAAAATATGTCATCGCAATGTAAGACAACGAAGAATCAAACTAATAAGAATTGAAACAAAGTCATCAAAGTGTGGAAATATACGAAAAGTACTTCCAGGTTCGATTTCCCAGGGGTCTCAGTATTAATCTTTAAGTTATCACGCTTTCTACAATGGAATTTAGCCTTTATTCTTAACCAACTGCACGGAAATGGGAGCTTGTTTTTTACAGTTTACAGTCGTCTTGCTCTGCAACTTGCTTTGTAGCGTCGCACACATCTTCTTCATTTTATCGAGACTCAAATGCACTTTGTTCATTGGAATGAGGAGTCGACGGTGATGAAACATTATCGGATCCAGTGTGACACAAATAGGGCTAAGTAACAAAGTCCTTCACCAAGGTCTTTTGTGCAGCGTAAACATTTCGTTCATTCCCTGAGCACTCTTGAGTAATCAAGCAATAGAACGACCTTTCATATGGATATGTGCTGACACTTCTCCGACAGTTTATTGATCCGTATCCACAGTGTGTCTTTTCACTGTAGGAATACCATTACTTCTAGCATCAGATCGCTTTTTTGTTTTCTTGTTGAACGTCGTACAATATGATTAAGCGCGTCCCCCACCCCTCCCCCTCCCCGCCCTACAGTCTCGAGGTTATCACAGCTGTGGCGTTCCATGGGGAGTTCGCTGTTGACTGCCGGAGTGTTGCAGTTGGGGTTTGGCCGCGCACACCGCGATGAGCACCACAACCACTAGGCCACGGCGCGATGAGTCTTTCCTTTCACTATGTTCGTAGCCAAAATATTAGCAACCGGTAATTTCTAGTCAGTCTTTAGCCTCAAATTGATTAGTAACTAGTTCGACTTCCAAATTTTATTACTAGGAACATTCAATCCCACTGTAAGTTTGTCAGGTGAAATCTGAAAATCCTAATTTGAAGGTCTTCCAAAACAATGTGCTTTTTTGTCACATCAAGATTGAAAGAAATAAGTGAATCATCATTATCGTTCTTTGAAACACTTAGAGTAATTTCAGTGCGTATTTACGTCAGCAAGACTGTACACCATTCACTGAGCAATTGAAAAAGCATGTAAGATCGAGTTGGCATACGTAACACATTACCGAAATTGAAAGCTTGGATCTTTCAAGCTTGTCACATCGGTGAGGGCCCATGACATTACGCACTGATAACGAAACATGGATGAGTTGATTATGTAATAGCAAGGACAAACGATCGACGGACTAAAAAGCCGTAGAATGAACTTCACGAGGATGCAAACGTCCCCTGTGACGATTTAGTACCCGTTGGGCGGACGCGTTGTAGCTAAGCCATCTGTATCCGCAACTGCAAACGTTTTGCAGATCACGTTATAAGACTAGCGCACATTACTGAGCAGAAAACCCAATCATCGCCACGATTCCGCCAGAAGGAAACGAATAGATAATTTCAGAAAATCCCACATTTCGTAAAATTTGGCCATCTAAGTATGTCAAGTTGCTATGTCTCATATAAACCTAAAAGAATTGAGTGGTGAGCAAAAGTACCTTGGTGATGTAGTGGAAGCACACGTCCTCAGTATGAATGAAAAGCCGGTTCGACTCCCTTCTGAGGGCGTATTTTTTGCTCACCACTGAATTCTCTCAGGTTTATATGAAACATCATAACACTTTGAAGAAAAGCAGTAAAAAAAATAAAAAACACTAAATGTCAAGTTAATATGTGATGGGAAAGTGATACTGGTGCAGGATAGATTCTTTGCAGAAGAACAAAGTTTTGTCAGCGGTCTATCACTCAATCAAACCTTCACTTATAGATGTGCCAAGCAACAGAGGTTAGCCCATTCGAGTGCG